TGGAACCCTGTGTACTTACAGAGGGAGGAGGTAGTGGAAGCCTGTGTACTTACAGAGGGAGGAGGTAGTGGAACCCTGTGTACTTATAGAGGGAGGAGGTAATGGAAGCCTGTGTACTTACAGAGGAAGGAGGTAGTGGAACCCTGTGTACTTACGTAGGGAAGAGGTAGTGGAACTTTTTGTACTCACGGAGGGAGAAGGTAGTGAAACTTTGTGTACTTACGGAGGAAGGAGATAGTGGAAAAACGTCTCTGGAGTGAAAAATGCCTGCAGGTCACCACTAGAACCGGAGAAACTAGAAAAACAAATACAAGTTATTACAAACATTATGACCATTATAATAAAATCATTTATATTCAAACTTTGATATTGGAAATATCCTTTTAAAGTTCAAAGTGTTCATCCAGTTGTGGCCATTTTTACATGAATACTTATCACATGACCTGATGGTATCCAATGCCAAGGAATCAAAACAGTCTGTTGTTCCTAGCTTACGCACAAAATAAAGTAAGTCTGTTGTTCCTAGCTTACACACAAAATAAAGTAAGTCTGTTGCTCCATGCTTACACATAAAATACGCCTAAAATAAAGTAAGTATGTTGTTCCTAGCTTACACACAAAATAAAGTAAGTCTGTTACTCCTAGCTTACACATAAAATACACCTAAAATAAAGTAAGTCTGTTACTCCTAGCTTACACATAAAATAAAGTAAGTCTGTTGCTCCTAGCTTACACACAAAATAAAGTAAGTCTGTTGCTCCTAGCTTACACATAAAATAAAGTAAGTCTGTTGCTCCATGCTTACACATAAAATAAAGTAAGTCTGTTGTTCCTAGCTTACACATAAAATAAAGTAAGCATGGAGCAACAGACTTACTTTATTTTATGTGTAAACTAGGAGTAACAGACTTACTTTATTTTATGTGTAAGCTAGGAACAACAGACTTACTATATTTTATGTGTAAGCTAGGAGCAACAGACTTACTTCATTTTGTGTGTAAGCTAGGAGCAACATGCTTACTTTATTTTATGTGTAAGCTAGGAACAACAGACTTACTATATTTTATGTGTAAGCTAGGAGCAACAGACTTACTTTATGTTATGTGTAAGCTAGGAGTAACAGACTTACTTTATTTTAGGTGTATTTTATGTGTAAGCTAGGAGTAACAGACTTACTTTATTTTATGTGTAAGCTAGGAACAACAGACTTACTATATTTTATGTGTAAGCTAGGAGCAACAGTCTTACTTTATTTTGTGTGTAAGCTAGGAGCAACATACTTACTTTATTTTGTGTGTAAGCTAGGAACAACAGACTTAATTTATTTTATGTGTAAGCTAGGAGCACCAGACTTACTTTATTTTGTGTGTAAACTAGGAGCAACAGACTTACTTTATTTTTTGTGTAAGCTAGGAGCAACAGACTTACACATAAAATAAAGTAAGTCTGTTGCTCCATGCTTACTTTATTTTATGTGTAAGCTAGGAACAACAGACTTACTATATTTTATGTGTAAGCTAGGAGCAACAGTCTTACTTTATTTTGTGTGTAAGCTAGGAACATCAGACTTACTTTATTTTGTGTGTAAACTAGGAGCAACAGACTTACTTTATTTTGTGTGTAAACTAGGAGCAACAGACTTACTTTATTTTTTGTGTAAGCTAGGAGCAACAGACTTACACATAAAATAAAGTAAGTCTGTTACTCCTAGCTTACACATAAAATACGCCTAAAATAAAGTAAGTCTGTTACTCCTAGCTTACACATAAAATAAAGGAAGTCTGTTGCTCCTAGCTTACACATAAAATATAGTAAGTCTGTTGTTCCTAGCTTACACACAAAATAAAGTAAAACACCATAACACTGACATCAATATATGGAAATGTGGAATTAAAACAAAATCTTTTGATTCAAACTATAGCACATACAAACTTGTGGGCTGTTACCGTGACTCAAATGTTAATGTTACCTGTTGACATTGAACGCTGAATAATCCAAACACCTTGTTATCTGTTGACATGGAATGCTGAATAATCTAAACACCTTGTTATTTGTTGACATGGAACGCTGAATAATCTAAACACCTTGTTATTTGTTGACATGGAACCCTGAATAATCTAAACACCTTGTTATTTGTTGACATGGAACCCTGAAATATCTAAACACCTTGATATTTGTTGATATGGAACTCTGAATAATCTTAACACCTTGTTATTTGTTGACATGGAACGCTGAATAATCTAAACACCTTGTTATTTGTTGACATGGAACCCTGAAATATCTAAACACCTTGATATTTGTTGATATGTAACTCTGAATAATCTTAACACCTTGTTATTTGTTGACATGGAACGCTGAATAATGTAACACCTTGTTGTTTGTTGACATGGAACGCTGAATAATGTAACACCTTGTTATTTGTTGATATGGAACGCTGAATAATCTAAACACCTTGTTGTTTGTTGACATGGAACGCTGAATAATCTAAACAACTTGTTATTTGTTGACATGGAACGCTGAATAATCTAAACAAATTGTTATTTGTTGACATGGAACGCTGAATAATGTAACACCTTGTTGTTTGTTGACATGGAACGCTGAATAATCTAAACAAATTGTTATTTGTTGACATGGAACGCTGAATAATGTAACACCTTGTTGTTTGTTGACATGGAACGCTGAATAATCTAAACAAATTGTTATTTGTTGACATGGAACGCTGAATAATCTAAACAACTTGTTATTTGTTGACATGGAACGCTGAATAATGTAACACCTTGTTGTTTGTTGACATGGAACGCTCAATAATCTAAACAACTTGTTATTTGTTGACATGGAACGCTGAATAATGTAACACCTTGTTATTTGTTGATATGGAACGCTGAATAATCTAAACACCTTGTTGTTTGTTGACATGGAACGCTGAATAATCTAAACAACTTGTTATTTGTTGACATGGAACGCTGAATAATGTAACACCTTGTTATTTGTTGATATGGAACGCTGAATAATCTAAACACCTTGTTGTTTGTTGACATGGAACGCTGAATAATCTAAACAACTTGTTATTTGTTGACATGGAACGCTGAATAATGTAACACCTTGTTATTTGTTGATATGGAACGCTGAATAATCTAAACACCTTGTTGTTTGTTGACATGGAACGCTGAATAATGTAACACCTTGTTGTTTGTTGACATGGAACGCTGAATAATCTAAACACCTTGTTATTTGTTGACAAATGAAAAGAAGCATTTCTAATTAATCCTACAAGTATTTTATTTATCGCAAAATATGTAACTCATGTTACACAAAGTGTTTTTTATTGAATTTGTACGGATAAATATCTACGATCATATCTAAAGCAGGAAGCTCTCCGTGGTCAAGTGACCTTAGGTATTGTTGGGACATTACACAAACATCATCCTGTTCCCAGTGAGATAAAATCTAGACTGTTTCCTGTTGTGTTGATAATACCCTAACAAACAGTGCACAGTATAAGCAGGAGTTAATTCAGGATGAAAATGTTTATAATGCATTTAACTTGTATTCAAAATTATAAAAATATAAATCAATTCTGATAATGTTTTTAAGTTTCAAAGAAATAAATTAAAATCAGGAGAAAATCACTCACTAGATGATGGCTCCAAAGACTACTCCAACAATGATGAGGAGGCTGAAATCATAGTAAATCAACATTGATCGGCTGAACTTAACAGTCAATTGATTAGATATCAGAGTAGTAGTACTGTATATAGTCAACACATATACTATTGTACAGTGTAAGGCAATAAGACTGGAACAAATAAGGTACATCTATTTGAATTATAGATTTACGCTTTACATAAGTACTAGTCATTTGTCTGATAAAGCTGAGAGAGTACATATCATACTAGTCACCAAACATCACACACGGTGGTGATATATGAATCTGTATTCAATGCATGAAACAAAGACAAGGTCAACCTATCTACAAATGTTACTGGGTAAAAGATTATAAAGTCATTGCAATGTTTAGCAAACCCCAACTTACCACGACTCTGGGAGAAAGGATGAGAGTTTGTCAGCATAGTGAAAACCTGCAAATAGAAAAGGACAAAACTTGAAAACTCACCAGTGTAATATGCAAGATATACTATGTAACCAAACATGTGAATTCTGTACTTTTAGGGCTAGCCACTATATGTATGTTTGTTTGGAAGTCCAAAAGACTAGTTTTTTTGCTGGCCCTACATCAATGTTATTATTTCAAGTTTTCCTGAAGGTATCATTCTCAGTTTATATTAATAATAATATATTTGAGGCACGGTAGTCAAGTGGTAGGATGCCAGGCTCGTGACCGAAGGGTTGCGGGTTCAAGTCACATCATGGCACGACACTGTGTTGTATATGTTCCAGTCTACTCAGCTTTAAATGAGTATGTGGTTGGGCAGTGCTAGAAATGCTGTATGCTAGATGTGAGCGTTGAAATGGCAGCACTGACTGTATGCTCCCCAGGGAGTTGAGAAAGATATTGACTGGTTGCAAAGGCCCTATAACCACGGATACAAATTTGTGAAGCGCTTTGAGATGACCTATGAACTAGGTTGTGATAAAGTGGTATATAATTACCTTGAACTAATATTGTTATTATTAAATTAGACCACGTTATCAACTACACATCCTATTACAATATATATATGGTGGATCCCTAGACATTTTGACACTCATCATGAAATATTTAGGTATTAGAAGCAGTTTTTTGAAAGGAATATTCCTTTTTCTATCTCTCAGTGACATGATACTGCTTGACATAATAATGATAATAATAATTTGAGGTTCTTATATATCGCTTTATCACAACCTAGCTCGTTGTTCGTCTCAAAGCGGTTCACAAATTATTATCCGTGGTTATAGGGCATTTGCAAACAGACAATATCTTTCTCAACTCCCTGGGGAGCATACAGCCGGTGCTGCCATTTCAGCACTCACAGCTAGCATTCAACAATTCCAGCACTTCCCAACCATGTACTCATTTACAGCTGAGTAGACTGAAACAAACGGAGCAAAGTATCTTGCTCAAAGATACAACACAGTGCCATGTCGTGACTCGAGCCTGCAACCCTTCGGTCACGAGCCTAGCGTCCTACATGTATCACTAGACTACCGTGTCTCCTAACCAGTAACCAGTGATGTTTTTACCTGCTTTCTGAGTATTTATTAAACAAGTATAAATACTTACCCATCTTACTGATAACAGCAACCAACACAACAATTGTAAACAAGAAGGGGGAACGGATTTCATCATAACGAATTTCTACGACCTCCACATGGTGACCATTTGACCCCTCATGCTCACTGTGATTGGTGCTGTGATTAGAGGAATGGTCGTCGCCATGTTCTGAAATGTTGTGAGTAGTCGAATAGGTCACATCACTGGTTTGAGGAGAAGACGTAGATGAAGAATTTGAAAGTGATATGAGACAGACTAACACAAGAACAAATAGCAAAAGGGCCACTGGATTTCTCGCCATGATGTGCAAGCTCACAACAAACACGTCAGATGGTCATGTTGACACAGGCAGGTAACAAACACCTCAGATCTAAAAATATATTTAAATAAAATTAAAATCAATTTGATATTGAAACATGATCAGCACATGCTTTCACAACTGACTTAATATGTTGATGGAGCTTTTCTCCCTACAAAACCAAAACCCCTCAGACTTGAGCAAGACTACTAGGTCTGTAAATATTGCAAGTCAGGGGATCCGGGATATTCAGTTACTTAACCGGTTGGGCACAACCAAAATTTTGATTTTTTTATATAGGAAAGTGAAATTAGATTCGAAGTGCATTCAACCATAACATACAAAGATGTTACTCAAATGCAGGATTATTACCCATAAGCGCCGTTGTGCCCAACCTGCTTAATATTTAGTACACTACACCTGACCACTGATACTGCTTGATAAAATGACCGCTCTGCTTCAACTGATTATTCTGCCACTTTTGGATACGCATGTTAATGATGTATAAGGATGACAAGAGAGAATTGTGCTATACATTCTATATATGTAGTGAAACACATACCGCCCCGAAACCAATGCCTAAATAATATAAAAGTGACACCTAATCGAAATGAAATCACAGAGGAGCGGCAATGAATAATACAAAGAAAATCCTTCACCTACAAAAAAGTACCGACAAAGTGAACAAACATTATTGTACGCAATGTTTCAGGCACATGTGTGCGTTATGTACGGAAATCACTAATTTACCAGGTTACTTTCACTATCAATACTGTGATATAAAACGAAATTCTTCATTACCATGCGTTAGGGCATACTTGAAACACTGTCAAAGGTAGTTATCGATCGCTACTCAAACCCTGCAGTTACATTTAATGTCATAGATAACTGCGCTGTCATGATTAGGAACTCACCTGCAGAACTCGCACCGCTGTCAATATACATCCGGTTCGCTTCCGTGTTTGACTTTTTTCGTTGGAGTTATTTCCCTTTCATCGTATCGAAAATTCCGAAGCTCTTGTTAGTACACTGATCGCGTACCAGCAGGGGCGTAGGCCTAGCGTCTTTAGAAAAAAAAAGCTCGGGCTTACACAAGAACAATTTGTGTATACCAAATGTCTAAACAATGACAACTTAACAATAACAAAAGATGACACCATGCAATCAAGATAAAAATTACATTTCAACAAATGATAGCAGCCATACTGCACAAAAATGGACCGAACTTGACCCGGTGTCACTTATGTTTGGAGACGTTGCATTCATTATTTCAAAGAAACACATTTTTATTTTATTTTTCATAACAGCCATCAATACTGACAAACAAATCGATAGCAAATTCAAGTAAAATCTCTAAAATGTAATTTTCTGCTTAGAGCGTGCACGTGTTCCATGCAATCACCTGTGCCGGGTACTCTCTTGGGAAAATTGGAATTAACGCACGCAGCTCCAACTGAATTATACAGTTTACTTTAAGATACAACTAGGACCTGTCTGTTTGTTTGATCACGGAATTAGATTATCTAAGTCCGTGATTTGATCAATGGATATTTCAGAATTTAATTTCAAATGGATCCGTTTTCTAACAATCGAGATATTCAATGCTGTTTATATAAAATCAGAGACAGTTTAATTTTATATGACTCTGGTTAAATGCAGATAAGTCTTTAAATATTCAATGGATAATACTTTAAAAGGCTTGTATTATCTCATTTTTTTATGTTGATATCTGATTTAAAATTGTCCAAACATATAGTAAATACAGCCGCTGCAGCAAATAGATCTTTAGGCTTTTTGAAAAGAAGTCTCAAAACAGAGATTTTTCCGTAATCTTCATATGATTGAATGAGGATTGGATAACTAAAGAAGAAGAGAAGGAAGAAGATATCTCAGCGTGCTCTTTTTAATTGAACCTGTCTAGAAAGAGTTACGTGCGTTTTTTATAACTAGATAAAGAACTGCAATATAGAAATACATTTTCGTGATAAACAGGTTCACTCTACCAATTACGCTACCTGGTCGCCGGCGATCGACTCAGTCCAGTTCTACCGCATGCACTTAATAGATAAATCATAGATGTGATTCAAATTAACTACGATGTATAAAGTGGATGCATTTCAACTCTTAAATAAAGGAAAAGACGGGATGCAGTGCGCATCGAAGCTGGTGCAGAGTCCAGGGGGAAATTGCAGATTTTACGTTCCGACTCTCCACACACACAAAAAATCATTAAAAAAATCAGTATTTCGGACTATATCACTGTGTAATATTATTTAATTTGTTCCAATGTAGGATCTTTGCTGTTTCCCGACCGACCCACTTAAAATGGTATCTGCTGAAATGTGTTTTTAATTTGGATAAAAAATGGACTGAAAAATCGCTGAAAGTTAACTTTTTTTATTAAGAAATCTGCATAATCAGAAAAAATACCTACCAACTGAAAAAAAGTGACTGAATAGCGAAAACTGAAAACATTTTTGTGAAGAGTTGCCCAAATGATATACAGTTAGTTATACTGACGTTAGACTATTTTATTGCGAAGTCAATTTGTGAAAAAATCAGAAAGTTGAATTCTGCCTGGCTGAAACAAAACGACTGTATGAGACATACGTTGTGTAATGTACTCCATTCAAGCTCACTGGGCACTTAGAATATATCTTTAAATAACCGGCTCGGAAGNTTCTCAACAACGAGTCTTTAGTACTTTCATCTCTTCTAGGAGATTCTTCAGACTGTTTATTTGAAGTATATATATACATATACGGACTCTCAAAGTCTCTGTGTATATTACATACGGACTCTCAAAGTCAAAATGATGAAATATTATGCAAATGTAAACAAAAAGTCTAGTGTCGAATTAACCACGCGGACGTACATGTACGTCTTACTAATCCTCATCATATGGTCCGATCTAAGTCCAGCCACTGAGACACTGGTCCAGCCCATGATAAGATAAATTTTATTTAGAGTCGGTGGGTATATAACAAAATAATATATAAGCTATGAAGAGCTTTTGACCGACATATACATATACCCTGTGTATGCCATAAAAAGGTCGGTATACAAAACATCGACAGGTATCAACACCATTAGTTACAGATGTACAAAAAACTTTGATGAAAATGTTTTCAATAATAATCTAAATTCAGCCCACTGGGACATCCCTAATATAACAACAACAGGGGATGTAAATGATGCGGTCGAGTCGTGGAATAAAACTTTCACAGATATTTTAAACAAAACTGCGCCGTTTAAAGAAAAGCGGGTCAAACACAAAACAATTCCTGAGTGGTGGAATGAAGACATCTCCACAGCAATCAAAATTAGAGACAATCATAAACAGGATTCTAACTTTGAACTCTATAAAAAATGGAGAAATCGTGTAACAGCTTTAGTGAAAAAAGCGAAAAGTGAATTTTATAAAAATGTTCTAGATGCATGCAAAAAAGAACCAAACAAGTATTGGAAATACTTTAAACAACTGGTTCCAAACAAACCTGATGAAAAACCAAATTTTATTATTGCTGACGGTAAACAAATAGACGAAACGGAAGAAATTGCAAATAATTTTAATAATTTCTTTACAAATATTGTAAAGGAATATATCTCTGAAACTGTTTCAGATTCTCCGACAATATGTCTTAAA